TTGACTGAGACCTCTGATCCAGGAGCCCTCAAACTTTCTTCTCCTAAGTTGTCTGGTCAGGACTTTAGTCACAGCCATGAGAAAGCTGAGTAACACGCTGCCCGTCGGATTTCTCTGCTCTTGCCCTTATCCCACCGTCTCTCCTAAGGCCCACAAGTCTAAAGCCTCTGGAATCTGATTGTCAAGTCATTTTATCAGAGACGCTCCTTACTTGCTCCTGGAATTCTCTCAAGACCCAAGTATGGTCCTGCAGTAATCCAAATGACTCAGGAGTTGAGGCAAGAGGATTGTGAGTTTGAGCCTAACTCGGCAATTTAGGAGATCCTATCAAAAAAAAAAAAAAAAAAGAGAGCCAAATATGCCTTCCAGTATGAGCGCCTTTCGGTACCTGATGCTTTTTTCTTGGTGACCTAGTGCGCTCTCTGCCCTGGCTGTTTTTGCAGTGTTCTGGTGCTGGAATGTTCAGGGAAGAAAAAATAATTTTTCCTCTACTTTTTTCTGAGTTCTTAAAAGTAGCAAAAGACAGGTAAGCAGAAGAAAAACAAAACAAAACATACAAATCTTTATTGGGATGTATATTTCATATATAAACAAAAGATACGAAGGAATTTAAGCACCTCATAGAAGTGGCATAGAAACTATCTTCAGCTGGAACAGGAGCAGGTGTGGGAGGCCAGTTATGGGGGCTTGGAGAAGCATGGCAACAAGAAAAGGGTTGGCCTGCAAATGGTCACTGAGACTCCATCTTGAGGCAGCCCTCTTTTCTTTCCTGACATGGAGAGGGAGACAGCATTACAAATGGAGACTTCCAGCTTAGAGGTAAATTCCCCTTACAAAAGACCCCTTTGCTCTCAGAACTTCTCCCATGTCTATGGTTTCTCAAAACCATCTGCTTAAAATAATCCTTATGCCAAAGAGGCATATTTTGGGTGACACATTATGGTGTCCTTCTGCACGTAGCCCATGGTGGTCATTAGGCTCCCCTCTAGACTTCCCTCAGTTTTGCTGGTTTTCATGCATTTCAGGCCAATATTTAGCTCTTACTCTCTTCCTCACCTCTTGCTAACATCTCCCAACCTGGATGTCTCGAGAACAGAATCCAAGGTAAAGATGCTGTAGCCCTCTGCGACCATGCCGACTCTCCTTTCTGGCTTCAGGCTCGGGACAGGAGTTTTCAGACAGGCACTCTCCATGTGGCGTTCTCTAAAAGCCACACAGGTCGGACTCCTTCTGTGGTCATCAGCCTACTCGGGACTAGAGCTAGGCCATCCCATTCAGCTACCAGCACTGGTGTTCCCCGGTGTGAACTGGTGCCTGTAGTAAGGGGGACTTAGTCTTGAGTTCAGCTTTTGCCGTTTACTTCTAATCTTACCTTAGACAAAAGAAGGCATTTTTTAGTATTCCTACACTCTTATTTTACTTATCCCCTTAAATTCTCCCTGCCTTCCTATTATCCTGAATATGACTTCACGGATCTGTAGACCTCCTTGGGGCACAGGCCTGGCATGGGGGAGATGGGTAGGTGGTTCTCCTACCCATCTTGTACAAAGTCACGGCCAAGGGCCACCTGAGCACAGGGGTCTCTCCACTTCCTACCAAGGCACAGTTACATTTAGTGCTTTGGATGGAATGTTCCTGTCGTGCCAAAATTCATATGTTGAAGCCCAGTCCCCCAAGTGATGGTGCCGAGAGCCAGGGCCTCAGGAGGAGGTCAGGTCACAAGTTCAAGGACTTTACCATGGGATCAGGGCTTTAGTAGTGGAGGTCCCAGAGTTCTGCCTGCCCCTTCTGCCGTCTTAGGACACAGCTTGAGGTTCAGTGTTCAGTGAACAAGGAAGTGGATCATACTGGACTGCTTGGCCTAGAACAGAGGGCAGTATCTTGTTCGTAAGCAACAAACAGGTGGCTCTAGAACCTTTTGCTGTAACAGTGCTAGGGGACTCAGACACTAGCTTTCTTATTTTGCCAGTGTGATGGGTGTTATACAGTTCTTCATTGCTGTTTTCATTTGAATGTCTCTGAATACAAGTGAAGTCAAAAAATTTTTTCTCCATTAAAAATCTGAAGATTTTTCTTCAATTTAAATTAAAACACTCAAAGCATATTTTCTTATATAGAACTATTGCTTGTAACCCCTCTTTCAGGCTACTTATGTAAATGAAAATTTTAATACAGCTTCTCTCATTTTCCATTTCAGAAAGTACAGCATTTTAAATGTATTCGAGATTTATTATTATTATTATCAGCAGGGATACCTAAATAAATTCAGTTTTTTACATCTTACAGCCTCTTTCCTGATGAGAGCCTATAAAGAAACAGAAAGAGACAGAAGCAAGCAAGGTGCAGGGGCGAAGTAAAAAGGGCACTACTCATCTGAGCGGCCAGCTTTATTTATAAAGGAACTTTCTAAATTCCTTTATTCCCAGAAGCTGAGTGTCTGAGACTAAGATGGAGGCCGATAAGACCCTAGAACAGAGCCTCCTCAACAAGAACAGCAGCTAGGCATTGAGCATGTATTAGTTATCTGACTAGTTTCAGGGAGAAACTGAAGAATGTTCCAAGTGTGGAGAACAGGGTGCCCGCTACCCTCCGGGAGTTTTCTCACCAGAGGAATGCTCCCTTGTATGTTTCCATGGCCCACATCCTTGTAAGGGCCATGCCAGTGGGGAGTGCCTCTGGCAGCAGCTCTCGTGATGAAGCGGAAACCGCCCTGAGCCTGGATTAGAGTGTGTGCTTGTAACTCTGCTTGCTCCTGTTGAGTGCCTTTCAGGACCTCGGCACTTCTGGGGAGCATCAGCAGCCCTGTGAGCATTAGTTTTCAACTAATGTTTCCAACATCGTTTCTGCCTCCTAGATTGATGCTTCATGGATTCCATGGAGTGTCCAGAACTTGAGAAGTGTGGGGGAGTCTGCCTTGTGGAAAACAAAGGCTAACAGATTGCCAAAGAAATAAGATTAGCTATTTGCCTATGAGATTAGCCATAAAATTGACTTGTTTATGTGTTAGTCACTGAATTGGATAGCTTCCTAAGTCTTAACCAGTGACAAGAGTTAAACCCCAGTTTAGTCTCATCAGAGGACTTCGGTTTGTTTCTCCAGCTCTCCTAACCAAAATCCAGAGATGAAACTAACGTGTTCTCTGGGGTATTGATCAAGGCACTGTCTCATCACCTCATTTAACCTCTAAAACATCTCTTAAAGAAAGGGAAAGACCTGTTTTGTAGAAAAAAGGAGAATAATGATTTGCAATGGCTTATTTAACAAGTAGTAGGACCACTAGAGATGGTACCTCTGACAGGTAGTTCAGGAAAATGGCATTCAAAGAATGAAATCAACTGTGAGTGATGGGTTCAGAGCATGCTATCCCAGGATTGGGGGTATTTAAAGTTGCAGGAACTTGAGGAATAGCACATGCAAGAAGGATTTCTGACCTTCCCTTAAAGTCTTAAGTACAGAGGAAAGGAATGCCCTTATGTTCAATGACAGAGAGCACAGGACACCCTCTGGTGAGCTGGCCTTGGTAACTACCCCCTCTCCCCCAGCATGCAACATTCCAGTTTAACTGCTTTGGGTCCAAATGCAACAGGTTCATTTCATGCTTCCATGTTCTGCCACTGAGGCTTATTTTAAAACTGACATCCCCTTCCCCCACCTCTTTTCCCTCTTCCCCTCCCTAACCTTGGGGAATCAAGATCACTTTTCTTCCCATCCTAGGCCAGGTTATCTGTCCTTGAGCTTATGTACCGCAGGAATGAAGTAATTTAGACTTCAGGGATGGCCCCAGGTCTAAGAAATGCTACATGTGAATTATGACCCGTGACAAAGAACAGCTTAGAATGTAGCCTTTGAATCCCCTCTTAAAAGTCCTGTTTCCCGTGACAGGCAGAATCACAGCCTCTGGGGTAGAAGTCCCCTGTATTTCTCCTTTGCTAGCAAAGCAATAAGACTTCTTTTTTTTCTTTTCCTTACAATTGTGTCCTCATTATTGGATTGGCATGAGGACTTATATTTTTTGGGTAGTACTCATTGCCTTAACAAGGCTGTTCATACAAAATTTACATTTAATACATTTGCATGCTTTTCTCTCATTAATCTTTTGTTACAGAAGCTCTGGCCTATGAATTTAAGTAGAAGGAAGATGTTTCTCCTCTCCTGCATTGGTATAAATTTGTGTGGGATGTAGAAAAAGGAGAACAATGATTTGTAATGGCTTATTTAACAAGTAGTAGGACCACTAGAGATGGTACCTCTGACACACAGAAATTTTTCAAAAACTGGAGGGTGCAGCCATAATGCCTGGGCCCACCTGCACCAAGAACATTTTCTGTGCCAAGCCCCCCCTACCCCTAGCCTACATGAATGAGCTACACCCTAACTGTGTGCCTACCTCACAATGTTCCCTTAATAGTCAGATGTAATAGTAAATGTGGGAAAGCTTAAAAGAGACCGGCATGAAACAATTGTTAGCACTAACAGGGCAAGTCAGAGAGGCTTCCTGCACATGCAGTCTCTTAACTGAGTTAATTCTTAGCCAGTTTCCTTGGAAATAGCAAATTAAAACAAAATAGAATACTGGTTGATAAGTCAATGTGTGTTCACAGGGACACTGATTTCTTGGAGTCTTACTCATTTCTAAGTGAACTGGAAAACATAAAGGTTTCTTTCTCCTTCAAAGCTGCTAGCCAGAGGGGCTTACCTGCACAGCTGCTCTGCCTGAGAGGCCACAGCTTTCCTCCTCCTCCTGAATTCTTAGTGTACTAGACTGCTTTTCAGCCTCTGGATGGCAACACAAATAAATCCTGCAGATTCCTGGGAAGGAAAGGAGAGGTCCGGTGGACCAGACTTCCCTGTAGCCAGGGACCAAGCTGTGGGCCCTCATCCCACCTGGGCTACTTGGTTCTTTAGGATGACTCCTGACTCTCCTATCTCATCAGTTACTCACTGTGAAACAAATTACTAAACAATGTAGCAGCTTAATACAGCAAGTTTACCGTCTCCCACCTTCTAAAGATGAGGTACACAGTGGTTTAGCTGTGTGGGGTCTAGCTTGGGGTATTTCAGGAAGTGCACATCCTCTTGTTGCAGGGGCTATAGTCATCTGAGGCTTGACAGGGGCAGAACTGGCTCACTTCCTGGCTTCATTCTTTGCCGACTGTTGAAGGCCTCACTTTCTTACCAGGCAGGCCTCTCCAAGGGGTTGCTGGAGGGTTCTTCCACACGGCCCCTGGGGTCCAGAGCATCTAGACTTAGCCAAGTGCAGTGCTAGTCATGACCTAGTCTTTAAGCCGCGGCGGGACTTCTTTTTTCCTTAGAAGCTCATCTCTAAATTCAGGGTACATGCAGGGGACTGGAATTAGGCTCCAGTTTTTGAAGGAAGGAGCATCAAATGAAACCATAATTTCTAAGTTCACACTTAAGTGTGCATTCCATTTGAAACAGCAGACCTCAGAAGACTCTAAAATCCCAGCCAGGGTCCTTGAAATAGAGCAGGAAGACCTTTGCGTGGGCCTGTGTGTCTGTCTTTTCCACTGAAGGAAATCAGGCCTTCTGCCCTGACTATTGATGTCTTTTCCAGAATGGAATCTTCTGTTTTCTTAAAGCCTTTGGAGGGCTGAGCTGGAGCAATCTGTGCCTGAGTGATAGCAAATTAGCAATGCATCCTAGAAATAAAGCAGCGAGCAAACACAACAAATCTTTGGTCTATGACTTGCATCTTCTACAGGGGGAAAAAAAATAGCAAAATGTAACTGTTACCACTTAGCTTCACAGATGTGAGGCAGCACCTGGTCTCCTGGGTTAGGACTTCATGCATGTCAGTCATGCAAGGGTCCAAGTCTTCAGAGGCTTTCAGTTGCCCCAGGTGAGACAGGTCTGGACCAGGTGGTTTCCACTCTGGCTTCTGCCTGGTAAATCACTAGTGTAGCATCAGGTGATTGGCCTACAGTTAAGATGGCCTAATGGCCCTGAATTGCCCCTCAGGCACATGGCTGCACTACTAGGCTCCTGCAAATAAGACCAAAGGCTAAGGCGCTAACTTTACAACATCACAGTCTTAGCATGGGAATGCACATTCCAGAGCTTTATCCTATGAGGTTATCAGGTCAGTTCTCATGGGAACCAGAATGCTCATTTGAACACGACCATGTCCTTCTTTCTGGCTCAGCTGAATTCAGGTGTGGTTCTTTCAGGTCAGGAGTGACGCTTTAACAATCATAGTACTGGGTAAGAGAACATGAGACCCACCTGTTAGGTAGCTCGTTCAGCCCTGAATGGAAGAGCAGGAAAGGAGTGAAAACCACAGGGAGACTTGTCTGACAGATAAGCACCTGCCTGAAATGTCAAACCTCCCTCACCCACAGTCACATCTGAGGCAGGAGGATTTCTAGTCCAAGACCAGCCTCAGCAAATTATCAGAGCCCTAAGCAACTTAGTGACCCCCTGTCTCAAACTGTAAACTAAAAAAGGGCTGTAGCTCAGTGCTAAAGTGCCCCTGGGTTCAATCCCCAGTACCAAATGAACAAACAAAAAAAGCTAGTTTCAAGATCAAGTTGAAGTGGCACCCCATTTCTCCACAGAAAAGCCCTCTTCACCATGGCTGATTTGGGGACTGTCAACAAGAGTCTCTGCAAGATTCCAATGTAGACAAACTTCCTATTTTCATGTCATCCTGTTTACTAGGCCACTGGCCGAGAAGATACCAGCACTCCAGGTGCTGGACACCCCCTTACTAGTTTTTCACAAACGTTATCAGTATTACTTTGAAGAAAGGTGCAAACAAGGCCTCTGGCCTTGAGCTGGGCTTCACAGAGATGTCTACATTTTTAAGATAAGTTACAATTGGGCTCCGTGGTAACAGCTGGCAGGGGGAGGAAAGAGGGGAGAAGCTCTCCCTTTCTCAGGTGTTGTCCTTGAAGGGTTAACTTGCCCACAACAGTGAAAGGAAAAGCTGCTTTATGTGAACTTCTGAGCCCCTCCCCTTACACGCTGGGTATAAAAATCCTAAAACTCCCTGAACTTGGGGTTCAGGGGATTGATTGATTACAGCAAAGGCTGTGCCCTCTGAACCTGGTCCAGCCAAATAAAACTGTTTCCTGCTATCTTCATCTTGGGTGCATTTGTCCCTACAACAAAGTCACAGCCTCCCAAGTAGCCTGTACCCTCCCTTATGGCGGAAACCTGTCACAAACCCCCATCACCCTGGCAACCAGAACATCAGGACCCTCACACAGAAAGCTTGATGGTAGCTGTCCAAAGGGCAGGCAATAAACTGACTGAAGGGGCAGGAAACTAACAGGGGTTCTCAGTTTTCTTAATAATTCCAATTCTGAGCATCACACCATCCTACCTTGGAGAAGGTCGATGCAGCTCCCAGGCTGTCAGTCCCAAGTAAAGATGGGGACTTGGGTGGGGGCTCTGGAAACCTCTGGGAATTCCCAGTAAAACTGGAGGGCACCCTGTCCCTCCCTCTCCTCTCTATAAGGTCTGGTGTCTGTTATTGAGGTACGTAAAACTTCCTCATTTCACCTCATGAATCCGGGTGGGATGGGTAGGACATTTGGGGGTGCCTGTTTCCTGAAAGGTGCCATCCCTTAACATACTAGGGACAGTTGTCCGCCCCCCGACTATGTAGCATTCACAACCCGCAAGATGACCTATTGGCAAACCCTACCTTGGTGGAGGAAGCAATCATCCTTTGATAGGACTCCTCAGCGGAGTGCGGTAGTGACTCCCGAAGCTGCGGCCAAGGACTAGCCTAGTTCAGGGCTAGCCTCAGCATTTCAGCGAGACCCTAAGCAACTTGGCGATAGCTGGGGATGTGACTCAGCTCCATCTCTAATAGCTCCCCAAACAAAAGAAACCCACTTTCCAGTTGCCTACGTGCTACACGACCTAGCTCCAGAGCGAATGTGAAATTAACTCCTCTTAAGTTCCAGTAACCTTACGCCCTTTGGAACAAGGTTCACTGATTTAGTAACAAAAAATACCTTGTGGTGCCGAGCATTTTCTCACGTGAGCTACGAGGAAAGAAGACCAAGCCTAAGTCAGTGTGGAGCAGCACTATCACTGAGAACTTTGGTGGCTCTGAAAAGAGCCTTTGGGAAGGTGGCAAGGGAGTCTAGAGTTTACGCCCTCTCCCCGCGGATGCGGCGCGCCAGCTGGATGTCCTTGGGCATGATGGTGACGCGCTTGGCATGGATGGCGCACAGGTTGGTGTCCTCGAACAGCCCCACCAGGTAGGCCTCGCAGGCCTCCTGCAGCGCCATGACGGCCGAGCTCTGGAAGCGCAGGTCGGTCTTGAAGTCCTGCGCGATCTCGCGCACCAGGCGCTGGAACGGCAGCTTGCGGATCAGCAGCTCGGTGGACTTCTGGTAGCGGCGGATCTCGCGCAGCGCCACGGTGCCGGGCCGGTAGCGGTGAGGCTTCTTGACGCCGCCGGTGGCCGGGGCGCTCTTGCGGGCGGCCTTGGTGGCCAGCTGCTTCCGCGGGGCCTTGCCGCCGGTGGACTTGCGCGCCGTCTGCTTGGTACGAGCCATGGGTAACCACCAAAGCCCTCAGGAAAAGGAACTGAAATGGTGCTGCAAGGACCTGAATTTATACTGACGATCTCATCCTGATTGGTCAGAGCTGTTGCAGCTGTAACTTGATTGGCTTCTAATTCAATCTTTGTTTCTTACCCCCCTCCTCCGAGCCGTTTTCCTCTGGGCCATTTTTCTCTTCTGAGAGACGTATTTTGTTTACGGTTTCAAACAAATAAGATCTAATGAAAATAGAATTGGAATTGGAATTCGTGGGAGTCCGTCTAAACTGTTCTTAAACCAAAGCATTTTTTGAAGCTTTGCTTCCTATTTCAGATAAATTGAAAAAGTTACGAGTAGAATGATGCAATCGTCAGTATATAAAAGTGTTTCATAACTACTTTTAACGATTGTACCAAAGCCAGAAAAAAAAAAAGTTTGAAAATAGATTGGCACAGTGGCTCCTGGAACATGAAAACTTGTTTGTCTTGCCTGGTGTGGGGAAGTAGTGGTTGGGGCACGTGGGGCGAAGGGTTAGAAGTGTGCTCGACTATGATACCAATGCTATCCGACATAACTGAGGGTGATGCAGGCAAATGGTTGCTTGGTTCAAGGTTCCCTTACTATCCGCGGAGTGATGTTTGCATTGATGTATACTAAGGTCTTTTACAGTAAATATAAGCAGACCTGAAAGGCCCTTTGTTAGGAAGGAATTCTAGTTGACTATGAGACCATCAAGCTCTCCTATAAAAAAAAAAAAACCTGAAAAATAAGTCATCTTAACATCACACTCACAAAAATGTTTATGTAACGAGCCGGAAATATTTAGAGGAAGGGGACGATATAGAATGGGAGGGGGGTTCTATTCTTGATCTTACTACTTCAATATGCTTAAAACACAAGCACCTCGACACACTCAGAGAATAAAGTGCTGAGTTCTTCCTCAGAAACGGTAGGTGGCTCTGAAAAGAGCCTTTGGTTTTAGGAAGATTAGGTTATAGGGACTTCACTTTCCCTTGGCCTTGTGGTGGCTCTCGGTCTTCTTGGGCAGCAGCACGGCCTGGATGTTGGGCAGGACACCGCCCTGCGCGATGGTGACTTTGCCCAGCAGCTTGTTGAGCTCCTCGTCGTTGCGGATGGCCAGCTGCAGGTGGCGCGGGATGATACGCGTCTTCTTGTTGTCACGGGCCGCGTTGCCAGCCAGCTCCAGGATCTCGGCCGTCAGGTACTCGAGCACCGCCGCCAGGTAGACGGGCGCGCCGGCCCCGACCCGCTCGGCATAGTTGCCCTTGCGCAGAAGGCGGTGGACTCTGCCCACGGGGAACTGCAGGCCCGCCCGGGAAGAGCGCGTCTTGGCCTTGGCGCGAGCCTTGCCACCCTGCTTGCCGCGTCCAGACATGACGTGTGCGCTCAAACTACACCAAAAACGTGTGTGAAGAGAACAAAAAACCCCACACACTTTATAGCCACTTTGGGCGCGAAAAAGAAGCTGAGCCATTGGCTGAAGTTGTAAGTTCATTTTAAATATTGTAAAATCAATTTCTAAAACACGCATTTTGATTGGACAATACCGAGCCGTGAGCTCCATATATCCTCCAATCACAAGTTAGACTCTGCTGCGAGTTGCGTTCTAACTAAGGAGGACCGGACCCGACTCGTAGTGGTTCTCTTTTGGGTACTTAAGGGTTCCTGTACCCGAGCCAGTGGAGTCTGCCTCGGTCCCCACGAGGGCTCCAAGGAGGTGCGGAGCAGGGCGCCGAAGTAGGATGGAGAGAATCGCGTACGAGTTCTGGGAGACCCTGGCCACGGTGCGCCTGCCGCTGCCCAAGTACACCACCGCCACGTGGGCTCGCCAATGGCTGCCTGTACAACAAAGGTGCTCTTCAGAGCCAACCACGCTTCCATCGAAAGTAGCAGATACATATTTATTGTTTTGTTTCCTTCAGTGAAGCTGGGAAGAATCCGCAGGCGCGGCAGAACGTAAAAAGCGCTGCAAAGGTTAGGCTTAGAGGCAGTGTCAGGTTAGTTTGTGTTCCCTATCGCGTTCGGAAAAAGTATTGAAGTTTTCTTTTCTGCTACAATAGCCAAAACTCGCTTTTGGCAACGTAATTAATTCACTGAACTCCCGGAAGTAGCAGTACTTGAAAAACCCCGCCAGGGGTTGCAAGTTGTCACGGGGTCGTGCTTTTCAAAGAAAAAGTTGTTTTTAGGGGCTGGGATTGTGGCTCAGATGTAGAGTGCTCGCCTAGCAAGCAGGAGGCACTGGGTTTGATCCTCAGGACCACGTAAATGTAGAATAAAGATTTTGTGTCCACCTAAAACTTAATAAATTTTTTTTAAAAAAGGAGTTATTTGGAAGGTAAAATTAAGAATTGTTATTTGCGCCCGTTTCGCATAAGCTCTGCAGTGCTGCACATAGGTGAGCTGAAATGATTCGCATCCAAGCACAACAGGCCAGGGAAGCTCCTTCAGGTTAAAATGTTGAGCAAGGAACCCAGCAACGTGGAGAAGCCACTTTCTTAGAATCTTTAATCAGGAGATATGCATTTGCTGGTTCAGAGAGGTAGCTATCAGGCTGGGATTTGAGAGTCCATGATTTGATTATCAGCAAAAGAGGTTGGAGAACCTAGTGCATAAAGAACAGGGATCCAGCAAGGCCACAGAGGTAGGCAGAGAGCCAGACGCCATGGCTTGCTAGGAGTATTCTGGAGACTTTCAATGCTTGATGTAAAATTCCTCAATCTCTCCCTCCCCAGTATCCCAATGGTGCTTAAATTCTCCTTTCTGGCATTTCATAGTATTAATACCCTCTGCCACCGTGTTATCCTCTCTGCCATAGAACACTTGTATTGTAAATCCATGTTCTACCCTCCCAGGATCTCACCAGAGACTCCAAAACCACCATTTAAGGCTTCTTTCTTGCTCTGTCTTCGCTTTCCTTGAAGCTATGGGTTGCTTTCTCTGTCTTGTCAGTTCCAGGCCACAAAGAGCCCCAAAGTCATACTAATAGGCCAGCGGATCTTGAAAAACGCACGGATTTATGGTTTACTTTTCTAAAACAGGGTTTCCTCCCTCAGTTCTGCGCCGTCATTCAGGCTGGACGCACTGGGACTGGGGACAGTCCTCGGAAGAGCTGCCTTCCTGGTGTTCCTGAATTTGTAGGCCTCACAATTGTCACCTCCCTTCATTCCTTGCTTTCTGGGAAGACTGCTCCGTGCCTTTGAGGGATGAACCTCCGGGAGCCGGCGGGAGAAGACTTATTGTCCTCTTCTGCCATCGTGTGGTAGAAGACAAGCACACGCCCAAGGCGCTGTTCTAAGGGAACTGAGACCATCTCTGTGCTGCAGTCTGCATGTTAGAGGAAGGTTTCCACTGAAGGTTTTAACTGAAGGATTGAAGTTTAAGCGTGGAGGAGGGTAGGCGAATGGGGAGGGCAGGGGAGTGGAGGGAGAGAGGGGCCATACTGTGGTATGATCAAACTGTCCAAAACAAAAACAAACAAAATTGTCTGTATCCTAAAATAAATGAAAATAATAGGATCATGCTTTCTAGTTCTGGCCCTCAAAATAACAAATACCTAACTATTTCCTATAAACCTAAACACTGACAAAAAACAATGATCTTCCCGAGTTTTGCGAGGCTGCTGTTGGAAGGTTTGTCATGACTTGAAGTTTAGATGTGAAGTGTCACCCAAAAGCTCGTGTGGGAGAATGCAAGGAAGTTTAGAGGTGAAATGAATGGCACCTGAGTGTCTTAACTGAATCAGAGGATTAATTCTCTGATATGCATCAACTGGGTGGTAATTGTAGGCAGGTGGGGTGTGGCTGGAGGGGATAAGTCAACAGGGGCATTTTGTTTTTTTTTTAAATTTTTTATTTTGGGGGTGTTATGCTCCAATTCGGGACCCCCAAAAGACCACCAGAGACCAAGATTGGTGTAAGCAGCATAGAGGCATGTATTGCGAGCTAGCTGGGTCCTCCGCGCCCGCACACACACAGCAACTGGTGACGCTGAGAGGCCAGGGTTTGCAGCAGTTTTATGCACTCTTTGGGGAAGGCAGGGACTTCACATACATCATAGCATCTCTTAGCAAATCATCACACACCGCAGGAAAAATCATAAAACAACTCTAAAACATGATTAGCACACTCACTGGCGGGAACAAGTTGGGTAGGGGTGATTGGTTACTACAAGAGGGAGATTTGTTTGAACTGATTGGTTTAAGCTGAGAGGGGTGAACATGCTGAACTACATGGTTTCCCAACACATAATCAACCACCATAAACTACTGGGGGGTCATCTGGCATCCCAGGTACTTCCCTGTCTCATGCTGATTGGTGGCTGCTAGGGGGCTGCTATGGGTCCCCACCTAGCCTGACTGAGTCAGAGACACCTGGCCCAGCAGATCTCTCCAGTTACTTGTAGATAAACAACTTGGCAGGGTGGGAATGTGCCTAGGAGTGCTCTGTGGGTCTTTCCAAGGACAAAGGTCATGTCCCTTCCTTGGACAGACAGCTCTGAGGTAGAGGCTGGTTTTTCAGGGGGGGGGGTGTTATATTTTGTCCTTGGTAAGCTGAGCTATATTTCTGCTTCCTGGTGCCATGTCCTGAACTTCTTTCCTTCTCTACACTCCTCTGCCTTGATGATCTGCCTCACCTCTAGGCTCAGTGAGATGGAGTTGGCTGTCTATGAACTAAGACCTCTGAAACCATGAGTCCCAAATAAACTTTTTCTTCTATAAAATTATTCTTTTTGGTCACAGAGGCAAAAACAAAACAAACAAACAAAAAACCACCTAGGCTAAAACACCTAGGGGCAGGATGATTGTGTGACCAAGCTGAAGTTTTTCCACGGTGACCTGGCCAATGTAAACTTGGAAACCTCAATGACTGGCACATTTTCTTTTCCTTTTTCTCGTTAAACATGGTTGTTCTTATGTTCTGTCTGCTCTCTTGCCTTCTTTGCAGGTAGACTTTCTTTTTCAAATGTTTGTGAGTCCTCCTTTAACAGCTCTACTGCCTCACTGTGTC